AACAGGGCTGCGAGGCGCGACGGCTGGCACCCGCCAACTCCGAGAGCGCCAAGCAAGCGCGCCTCGGGACTGGCAGTTCCTGAGCCTGGGCTTTTCCCCGGGGCCAGGCGGATGCCCCCTGCGGGAGACGGGATGCTGCCCTAGATAGGCCCCGTGCTCCGCTCCGGCGGACCCTTCGGAGGTTTCTCTCGCAAGCCCTGGCGCTGCGCGGGAAGCGCGGCTCGGGGAGAGGCGGCGGCGGCGGCGGCTCCAGGAAAAGGCACGGCGGACCAAGAGGGAGCCCGCGAGGGAAAGAGCCACAAAGCGCGCTCCCTTCCCTGCCCCCTTCCTCCCCCCCTCCCCTGTCTCTTTTCTCCTCTCCCTCCTCCACTTTTTTCTGCTCTTCTCTCCACTCTCAAACTCTCCCCCCTTCTCTTTTCACATACACACACACACGCGCGCGCACGCTCTCCTTCTCCCCGGTTCTGTCTTTCTCTCTCTCCCCCCCTCACCCACTACACGCGCGCGCGCGCTCTCACACCCGCGCGCCCTCCTTCGCCGAGCCTTTCCTTCGGCTCCTTCTGTTCCTGTCATCTCCCTTCCGCTCCTGCCTGGGCACCCGGCGCGCTCGCTCCCTCGCTCGCCTGCCCGTCTCCCTCCTCCTGCGCTCTTTCACTTCTTTCCCCCGTCTCTTTCCCTCTTCTACCTCTCTGTTCTCTCCCCCCCCACCCCTCACCCTCACCCCGTCGCGCACCTACTTACCTTTTGCACCCCCTTTTCACACCCTCAGTGCACCTGAGCACCCGAAGAGCGGCGGGCGGCGGCGGCGGCACGAAAAGCACCGGCGGCGAGCAGCATGTCCCGAAGGAAACAGAGCAAACCCCGGCAGATTAAACGTAAGTTTTCCAAAGAGCGGAGAAAAGAAAAAGGGGTTGCAGGGAGAGGGCGGGGGTGGGGGTGGGGGTGGCTGTTTCCCAAGGCTGCTTTTCTGGTTCTTTTCGCTTTCTAAGGCTTGCTTAAAAATAACAAGGGAGTGGGGAAGGGGTGGGAAAAAAAAGACGAAAACGAATGGAGAGAGAGCACAGCTGAAGTGTGAGCGCCCCGGGTCGAGTTTGGAAGGGGCTATTTTGTCTTTGGAGACCTGAGTTTGGACCTTCCTCTCCCCTCTTTTTATTTTATTTTTTTAAAAAATCCTTCTTTTTCTTTAAATATCTTTTTTGCTTTGAAGGATTCCTGGGCAGGCTGGTCATTTGGGAAAGTTAGCATTAAACTTCGCTCTTAGGAGTGGCTGGCTGGCTGACTGACTGGAGAGGGGTAAATAGGGTTTTTTTTTACGCGTAGAGAACTTTCTCTCTTCTGGGAAGCGTGCGGCCGGAGATGTATTTGCCAACAAGCAGTCCCGGGGAACGGAGGAGGCGGGTGGTGGGCGAGAAAAGAAAAGAATCGCCCTGGAAAGCAGCCCACAGAGCCAGCTGAGCGCGTGCAGAGTGCCATTTCTTCTTGCACCCCCACCCACCCCTATTCCACTCGCAGCGAGTTCCTGCCACCAGGCCAAAGGCACGCGTGCTATTCCTGGGCTATGGACGGGTGGGGGGAGAAGAAGGTGGCATCACGCAACAGCGGCAGCAGCGGCTCGACTTTTTTTGGAGTGGGGGAAATAGCACCCTCCTCCCCAAACTCTTCCTTTGGTGGGAGGCGAGGCTCCTTTGCAAACTTATTCCAGCGAATTCCCGTCGCTCTCAAGCAAGCGGCGCGCGTGGAGGTTTTTTTAGCAAGCCCCCCCCCCTCGTTATTTTAATTAGGATAGAGGTGGCCCGGGGAGGTGGAGCAGGTGAATGAGAGTCAGACCTTTTGGCAACCTTTCCCTTCTCGCTTTCCCTGCCCCAGCCTAGGACAAACTTGGGGGATAGTCCCTTATGATGTCAACTTCCTAAACTTTCCTGAGCGCCGAGATTCCTTTTTGTTTTGTTTTGGCCTTGGTTTCTGTTCAAGTAACCGAAATTAACACTACGTGTTTACAAAAAGAAAGAAAAAAATTCCCAAAGAAAAAACAAACTAGTGGCCAAAAATCTTTTGAATATCCCAACCTCTCCTCCAAAATGTCTTTCAAAGATAGTTGTCACGTGACCTAACCCATTCCTTTCTGGTTTTAAAAAACATTGGGGATTTTTGTTTATTGCCTCTAATAGGAATTAAGATAAAGATAAGGCTTCGCAAGGGTCAAACCGTCCCAGAGAAATCTGGATTAATGTCGTAAAAAGAATAGTGCTTCTCAGTGTAACTTTCTGATACTCCCTTTTTAGCAAACACCACTTCCATAGCCTTAAAATATTTTTGTAACTTTCACTTTGTTAAGGCTCCTTGCCTTTTAGGAATAACTTCTGATCCTCTTTGCTTCATCTTTTGCTAAGGAAAAACAGTTCACTTAAGCAGTGTACAACCAGGAATATTACTGACTGGATGAGCTTTCTACTACATAATGTGGCTTGGTTCTTAATAAATAATTAACATTAATTGGTCGCCCGATACAAAGACCATCTCAGTCTATTTTTTTCATACTTTGTTATCTCCCAGTTTAACTGTTAAATGTTTTTTTATGCCTACCTTACAACGTCAGATAAAAGCTTTTGCACTAATTGAGGCCATTGAATACTGTGATAGGTCCCAAGCCAGTTTCTGTGTCTCTTTTCCTCCCTAGTAAGATATGTTAAATTAAAGAAATCAAATCCACTGTTTATTGACGCATGTAAATATTTATGTGCATTCTTGTCTAGATGCAACACCCACACTATGGGGCCATTAGGGCTGTGGAGTATACTTTGGCTAGCGTTAGGTTTAACACTATCGAGAACTTTGAGTGCTGTTTCCCACTACTCAGATTTATTTGCTCTTTAAAGATAACTAGAAAGATTTTCAGAGGAAGAAGGACCCTTACGTTTGGAGAATCTGTAGGGGTTTAGTAGGAAAGTGGGCTAAAAAGTCATCCTGGCTGAGACTGGACTCTGCAGATGTTTTTTTTAAAATTCTTCGACAGTGTTGCCTGCTCACATCTAAACTCTCCCCATGACCATTTCTTGAATATATTTAAATATTTAGCCCATGTGCAATTCTCCAGAACCGTGAGGGAGAATGCACACCATCCCTCCTAGTGAAACAACCCCTAGTGTGACCATCATAGTTGACAGCTAAAATAATAGGAAAGCTACTGGGGAGAGTAAAGCAGTACTTTTAAGCCTGAAATCTCAGTTGGCAAAGAAGTCTGGCTGATAAACCATGCACAATTTAGAAGCTGTTATGACGAGGGGTAGGAGGAAGTCAGGAAAAACTCCCAAGACAGTCAGTTCAAAGGACAAAAAGGTTGTTGGGCACAATTTCCCCTCTTTTACTTCATACAGTTTTCTGCTATCTAAAATTGTGATTTATGCAGTATTTTAATATTTTGCTTATTCTTTCCCCTTGGGTGCTCTCTGGGCAGTGATAAAAAAGCGACGCTGAAAGAGCACCATTAATTTGCTCTGATGACTGGCCAGATAAGGGTAGATAATGGGAAAGATAAGCGGAAAAGATATACCATCAGAAACCCGATTATTACCATTAAAATTCCAGCCCAGCAATCTGCAGAAGCCTGATAATTCCTTCTCCGTTTCCACCACTTTGGATGATAAGGCAAAAAATAGTCACTCAGGGCTCCTTGATTAGACTGCCTGGATTTCGTGATAATACAGTGATAAATTATGTATTTTGCCCCATGTTTTGTCCAAACATTCAGATTTCTCTCTTTTTTTCAAAGTCTATATTTTTGCCTTCCTAAAAAATAAAAAAAATATAAAATAAAATGCCTTCTCTTGTAAGCTTTTATTGTAATCCTACTTTGATAAAAAGCAGTGATAGGAGAGGTGGTGTTTTGTGTGGGAGACCCCCATATCAATGTTATCAGCCCATCTCACTGCACCAGCTGCTAGCTGTTGTTGTTTTTTTGCCTTATCATCTCCTGCCAATATGCCAATAAATTGTCCAGATTGTTCTCCATTTTGTGGCTGCAATGCAAAATTTATGACAGAAATGATTTTTTTTTTAGAGCAAATGCATTTCTTTATATTAGCAGGGATGGCTATGTAGTTTCGTTATTGTTATTTCTTGTTGCAATCGTCTGGGATCTGATATTTTATGAACAGTATTATTTCAATTTCATTCACACTTACTGACGCCTGGGGAGGAGAAAATGAGTTGGTTATTTAGTCTGATTATTTATTTTGAGAATAAAACATTGCCAAACTAACTGCTTCAAGAAAAGAGGAAGCTTGTAAAAACATTGTAATTGAATACCAACAAAGAGGTCAAGATATTTAGTTGAAAAGATTATCAGAAGAGATCCAAATGGAACATTTGATTGTTTTGTAATATTTAGAAAAATGTACTGTGTTTTTAGGTTAAAATTAGATAGGGGAGGATAGCAAATTATTTTCAAATGATGCTTAAAGAGAACTTGTAAATTAAGCATATTTCATAAATTTTTAAAAGCCTATTCATCTTAGGACAAATATGTTTCTAAAACTTTCTGTTGCAAGCTTTGATAAAAAGTTTCTATTAATTTATAATATTTAATTTTTTTTGCCTATCAGTCTTCTGAGTTTATGCACTTTCATACTTTTTCATAATGAGCTAGAAGAAAGCTATTGTGTTAAGAAGTTTTCTCCCAAATACAGTAATAGTTTAAAACCACAATAAACTTAGCTTATTTAACATAAGAGTAGGAAAACACATACCGTAGTTCTTATTAATATTTTTACTCACGTACCATTTTTTTAGGCATAAAACTATTTCTGTCCATAGAATTTTGCTTGTGTCAAATCCTTTTGCGGAAGAGCTGTATTTTAAAACCAGTTTGTATTCTATATTATCAGTAACATCATTAGTTAATTCACATGGAAAAATAGAGTAGAGAATATTTCTTTATTTTGGAAGCTCAAGTATGGCAGGTTACTAACACTTACAATTCACTTGCCACTAACTCTTACAAGTGTTTAAAGCTGAACAATTGATTAGTATTTATTTAGTAACAATGTTATTTTGACCACGGTGATAACTAGGATTTCATGGCTGCAAAGTTGTTTTGCCTACTGTGTTGCCATTTTGGTTTTACTGTATGTTCTTGCATTCTAGTGGATATGTATACATGTATGTATTGTATGTATGTATGTCTTACATATATAGTTTAGATTAATGCTATGTACACCAAAGAAATAAAACAATATTTTATATTTATAGCTTTTGCAATAGGAGATCTCATTTTCCTTGATTTAATATTATTAAGTAATTATAAGCAACTTTTCAGAAGCTAACCAGTTCAGTTAATATTTTGGTATTATCCAGGTGGATATTGACTAGAAAAAGGCAATATCCAGAAATATGTTCTGTTTTAAGTCTATTAAAAAAAGTTCCTGGAATAGAAGGCATCTATTTAGATGCATGTGTTAAAGTTCATTACCCCTATGAACAAATTAAAATTAGAGAAGTTTGGAACATAATCTTCAAGGACTAAAGCCATATTAATCAGTTAATTAAGTGTATACTCTCCTTTACATTAGATTGTATACTATTTAAAGCAACAAATTTGGAATATTCTCTGTAAGCAAAACAGACCCAGTAACAGACCAACATCCCACATTGTTTGGATATGAACTATGCATGATTTTGTTTGCCTTGGGAGCCAAATATTAATTTTGTGAAAGTAAGTAATCTTTTTCACTATGAATTACATAGAGGAGTTTAGTTTAGGAAATGCATTTTATAAATATGATAAATATAGTTCGCATGTAAAGGAAAGCAATGAAATCCAATAATGCACTTATAATTTTCAGTCTGTGTTTTTATTGCCATTAGAAGTAGCGCCACA